GCTCAGCGCCCAGCGGTAGGCCGCGGGGCCCCTCTCAGGGGCGGTGGGAGCCCCCAGACCCGAGTTCCCAGGCGCCCCTCGCCCGCGGAGCCATGCCCGGCCGTGGGGTTCAGGAGGCGAGAGGCCGTCGGGGAGGCGCCGGCTGACCGCGCCCCCCGCAGGTTCCTCTACGACTTCTACCACTACTTCTACATGCTGACCAACGCGCTCTTCTACGTCAGCTCCGCGGTCAACCCCGTCCTCTACAACCTCGTCTCCGCCAGCTTCCGCCAGGTCTTCCTGTCCACCCTGGCCTGCCTGTGCCCCGTGTGCGGGCGCGGGCGCAAGGGGCCAGCCTTCCCCAGGAAGGCCAACAGCGTGTCCAGCAACCACACGCTGTCCAGCCACGCCACCCGGGAGAGCCTGTACTAGGCGCGGCTGGCGCCGGCCCCAGCGCTCAGCGGCCCCCAACTGCAGCTGGACGCAGGCCAGCCGAGGCAGCCCTCGCCCCGGGCCCGCTCTCCCCAGCGTGTCCGGCCCATGCAGCCCGGCCTCCCTGCCCCTCCCGCCCGCCCTCTCCCTTGGGAAGGCAGAGAGGCTCTCGGGCCGAGGAAACGGGAGAATCGCCGCCCAGAGGGTCCAGCGCCCGCCACAGGCCTCGTCCACCCTGGGGCCGCACCTCCCTCGGAAGCCCCCAGGAGCTGGCCGGCCCCGGAGGCCCGCAGAGGGTCCAGGCTGGCCCTCCCTTTCGGTCGCCCGGCTGGGGCCGCACCGGCACCGGGGGCCCTGGGCCCCGCCGGCCGCTCGACCCGGGAGCTACTGGCCAGGGCGGGGTGCCCGGAAGCCCCCAGATGCGAGGCCGGCGCCCCTCCAGCCGATCAAGGCTGGCACCAGGGCCGGGACTCGTGGCAGGCAGAGCTCTGGCTCCAGGCTGCCCGCTGGACAGCAGCCAGGCGGAGCCCAGACCATCTGTCACCCGCCGGCGCTGGCGCCTCCCTGGTCTTCAGGAGCCGATGCCCAGGCAGGACGGCCGGCTGCAGTGGGGCGTTGGGGACAGGCCACCCGGGTGCGGCCTCCAGGTTCTCAGCCTGCCCATGAGCCTGCGCATGGCTGCCACAGCGGCCCCCCACCGACCCCAGGGGGGCCGCCAAAGCCCCACCTCCCCGTCGGAGCCCTGGTCCACTGCGGGACTCGGCGCTCCAGCCAGGCCTGGCCAGGCAGGACCCGAGCCAGGGCTACCGACCCCAGGCACGTGGCCTGAAAAGCGCCCGAGGCCCCGTGCCTGGCAGGGGCCCCCCGGCCAGCCCGGGCCTGCGCCCGAGTGGGCCTCAGCAGCGGCGGAGGTGGTGGTCGGCTCGGGGGGCCTGGCCCCTGGCGCTCGGGGCCTCAGCACCCCGCCAGGCTCCGAGCCCCACATCCCGTCTAGCCAGCCTCGAGCCTCTGCCCATCCTGGCGTGAGCCGGAGGACCAGCCCGGACAGACGGACAGGGAGGCAGGGGTGGGGTGGACGTGGGAGAGTGCCCAGCGGCCGCCCCAGGCAGGGCCCATCGCAGCACCTGGACCCAGGTGGTCAGGCTGGTGGCGAACGTCCCCCGAGATGCGTCCAGGCCTGGGCTGGCCCCACTCACCTGCCCTGCAGTGGGCAAGAACGAACCCCAAGTCTCAATACGGTAGACGGCGGCCCCAGCCCGGAGCTGGGGTGGCCACCCCCCCCGGTCCACTGCGGCCTGCTTAGTTTGCGCCCTGAGGCTGGGCTCCACGCGTGTCCGGGCTGCCCCTCCGGGCAGGGAGGCCTGGTGCACGCCGGCAGCCCCCAGCCTCACTCTGGCCTGTGCTGGCCGCAGGAGGCCCTGCAGGCATTTGGGGACTGACCACGTCCGGCTCTGCTCTCCCGCCCCCTCCGGCCGACCCAGGGCCCTGGCCAGGAGGCCTGCAGTGGACAGGGCAGCGCCTGCCGTGAGGACACGGTGGACAGAGATGCCGGCCGGGGGGCCTCCCGGGTCAGCGGGTGCCCCCTGGCCCGCGCTCCCCACCCAGGCCTCAGGCGGCCCTCAGACGGCTTCTCCCGAGACCCAGCTGCGCTCAGCCCCGCTGTCTGCCCAGACTCGAGAGCACGTCCGAGGCTGCAGGCCCACCCGGCGGGCTCAGGGACAGTCGCCAGGGCCCCCAGCTGCCCCCCACCGCCTGTAGGTTTCCCTGTGGAAGGCACCTCTTCACCCCTAAAACACAGGAACATGGGCAAGGCGCCAGGCGGCTGCGGGTCTCCTGGCTGACCGCTGGGGCTGCAGAGGCCGCTGGCAGAGCCGTGTCCGCCCGCCCGCCCAGCTGCCGGCACTGACCGCCCGGCTCAGGCTCTGCTCGCTTTCCTGCACTGGGGTCTGTGCTCTGAACCCCAAGACGCAACACCCGGCGCCCAGCCGTGCTCCTTCTGGGGTCTGTTCTCGGGTCCTGGGGGGACGCAGGTCTGTGCGTCCAGGGTTCTGGGCAGGCCACCCAAGGAGGTGCCTCCCAAGTTGGGCCCCCCTGCTGCCCCTGCTCCGCTTGGTCTCCTGGAGGGGCCCCGCTGCAGGGCCGGCGGGCTCAGCGCCGAGGCCCCGCCCCAGACTGCCCGGAGCGGTGCCTGGGCCCCGGCGAGCAGGAGCTGCCCGGAAGTGGCCGCCGCGCCCGCGGGAGCCCAAAGGAAGGAAACTCGGTTCCCGGGGCCTGGGGCCGGTCTCGGGCTGTCAGCCCCGGCTGAGTCCCCCCCCCAGCGGGGCTCTCGGGGTCCCGCCCGCTGTCCGGGGCGTCCTCACAGCCCGCCCCTCTGGCCCTCGCCCGGCTCCTGTGCGCATGAATAAATAAACCTTACGACAGCGACAGCGAGTGAGCTCAGCCCGTCACAGGCGAAGGCCGGCGGGGCGCCCTGCCGGCCCGCGACGCCTCGCTGCCCTCACCACCTGGGCGGGCCGCACTTCCGGCGCCTGGGGCAGGCCGCCCCGCTTCCCGCCGGCCCCCGGGCCCCTGCCCACCCCACTCCCCACAGTTACGCTTCCAGTTCCAGCTTAGATGATCACGCGTGGAAACCAGGCCCGGCGGCCGACGGGAAGGAGGGGACGAGGGGCCATCGCGAGGAGGCCGCGCCCCCCCGCCGGCCCAGGACGCCCTCCAGGCCCACGGGCCTCCCCAGCCCCGTCCTCTAGGCGGCCAGGGGCTGTCGGGCCAGGGACCGGCTGTCCCCGGGAGGCCGCAGAGCCACTCTGAGACAAAGTCTCTAACTTCAAAACATGTCCCTGAGTGTCACATGGGCCCGAGGGTCCCAGTCCAGAGAGAGGACAGGCCCCGCCCGCCCCTGCGGCGCAGCCCTGCAGCAGCCAGCCAGGGTGGGTGGTGGGCAGGGCGCGGCCTGCCCGGAGGGCGAAGGGGGCAGGACAGTGCAGCGGGACCTGGACAGCTGGGAACGGGTCTCCGGCCGGGCTGGGCTGCGGGCCCCCGGGCGGGGTGCGGGGCCCCGGGCGGGGGCGCTTCCTTCCACCGCAGGGAGCCGGCCGTCCTAGGCCGCAAAGCAGAGGAGACCCTGCTCCCCACGCCGGCCCAGCCTCTTCCTCCGGGCCCCTCCCCGGGTCCAGGCGCCGGGCCCAGGCCTGCCCATCTGCCCCTTGCGGTCACCCAACTGCCCCTGTCCCTCCTGGGGTGCGTCTCCTGAGGCTCGGGACTCGGCCCCTCCCACCCAAGCCATCCAGGGTGGCCGCGGGGGGCTCTGAGCCGTCGGGAGGAGCCCACTCCTGGTGTGACTGGACTGGACGTCACGGCCGGGGCAGAGCCAGGGCAGGGGCTGGGGGACCTGGGACCCGCCCGCCGGGCCCCCTGAGCCAGCCACCTCAGCCACACCTGCCCTGGGGCCTGGCGTCCAGGCGGCGCAGGCTGCCCGCACGCTGCCGGTCCTGCGGCCCCATCAGTCATGTCCAGGGCCTGAATGACCCTGAGTCACGCCGTCCCCGCAGCCGGCCGGCGCCTGTGCTCTGCGAGCTTATCCGTCCACATTAGAAAGTGACCCAGCAGGACCTGGAGGGACAGCACCCCCCAATGCCGGGGGTGTGCGCTCTCCACCGAGGAAGCCCTCCTGTCCCCGGGGACCCCCATCCATGGAGACCCCAGTCCATGGGGGCCCCGAGTCCCCTGTTGCTCAGCACCGGCCCCAGGAGCTGGGGCAGCAGCTGGGAAGCAGAGACCCAAAGCCGAGCCCCGGCACTGTCCTGGCTGCACTCGGCCACCCCCTGGACACCCCTGGGCGGGAAGACGTGCCACCCCCAGAGGGTCAGGGTCTGGGCGCGCTGGCAGGTGGCGGCAGCGAGCCGGGTGTGCCTGGCCTTGGCCGGCGGGCTCTGCAAACCGTGCAGCGCTGAGCCGGGCTGCAG